TGCACTTTTTGTTTTCCCTTTGAAGTTGTTCTCCGGGAAGACTCAGGTTTGTGGCCTTTTTCAGCAAGAAGCTGAGCCAACATATCCTTCAGTTGGAGAAGTGTCTCCTGTTGCGCCTGGAGCATGACATGATGTTCGTCCACTCTTTTGGCTATGTCTTCATGGTTCCCTGTCGTGTAAGCGGAGACCTCCCGTGCTCCGACAGAGCTTGAAGATTGAGATTCGGCTATTGCCGAATGTTCATCACTTGTTGTGACACCCTTGGCTAACTTTTGATAGTCAACCGGACGAATGGCTCCTGTCCGAGTCCGAGTATTCTGATATACTCCTTCGAACTGGTCACAAATTTCTCGGACAGTTGGCGGATGACTCTCCTGTGACTCGTCAGAATCAGTATGCGAGGCCTTCCCTCGGCCGATCATGTTGATAGTGACCTGTGGGTATTCCGCTTCAGTTGTCTTCTTTCTGTTGCGGCGTTGTCGTTTGGCAGGCCTAACAACGTTTGTCAACCTGTCGAATACAGACTGCCGAGGTGTGGATGCATAACAAGAGCATTCTGACAGGACGGCCGAGATAAGCCTCTCACATTGACATGGGTGAACCGCTTGTGCTGTTGATTTTCCTCTCGACAACAATTCCCGCAGATCAGGAATTTGGGAGGAAACTTTCCCCGGGCTTGGAGGTGGAGATGGGACCCCCTGCCCTTGGGTAGGTGATATTGGTTCTTGCCGAACGTGAATTTTAAAACCACGCTGACTTTTTTGAACCTGATGGACCTCTTGAAGATCACGTTCTCGAGAAATAACGCGAGGGTCGCGTTGAAATTTGTAAACACTAGGCCGAGGCCTGCGTTTAAATGATGAACCTGACCTCTGAGTGTCAAGTTTTGGTTGAACGCGCCCCTGAGGGTCGCGTTTGGTTGGTGAAACAGACTCCTGAGAGTCATGCTTCGTTTGAACGCGCACCTGAGGGTCGCGTTTAATTTGTGAAACAGACTCCTGAGAGTCATGTTTAATTGGAACGCGCCCCTGAGGGTCGCGTTTGGTTTTGGCAGCTCCCTTCTGAGGGCTGTGTTTTGAATGAACAACGCGCCACTCAGGGTCGCGTTTGAGCTGTATCAGCCTAGGTTCGTAGTTGGGCTCATTGCCACGCAGTGAGCGTTCTTCTTTGGGAACGCTAGGCTCGGTTGGATTCTCAGAAACACGATCTTCGCGTTGGGCCAACAATCGGCTTTCCCGTAAGTGTACTCGTCGTATGGATCTTCTCCGTCGGCGAGCGGCGTTCTTTTTGGCTTGTTTCAAAGCCTTAGCAGCAACGTCATTGACGTTTACAGGACTCGTTTCTTCCAGAGGCCGTTTGTGACCCGAAGCACGTCTTGCTGGCGCGGAGATGGGATCTTCCGCCAGCAGAGCCAATTTGAGTTCCTGGCCGAAGGAGAGGGCTTTCTTCGGCACTTCAACAACAGAATCGACCTTCTTTGAGGTCTTGCGGACATCGTGCTTAGCCTTGGGGCTAAGCGATCCAGAGGATAGGGCTTCCTCGTATTTCGCCTGATCAAACTCTACGACGAGAGTTTCTACAGTCGTTCCCAAGAGGTGGACGTCGGACTGAGCCACCACTTCATCGTCGGAAAAGCTAGTCCCCAGCAGAGTCGTCATCTTTTGTTTGTTGGAAAAATTGTAAAGAAGAGAATAAAGAAAATGTGACTTTGATTCCTTTGATCTCGGTTACAACTTGATTACAAAAGAGAGGAAAACGAATTTGGTTTTCCCCTTTGTTTAAAACTGGGTTCTTCTTGACAGCGATGGAGTGCTTCCTTCGATTGATTGCGTCGAACTTGCTCTCCGTTGACGATCCGACCGTCTTTATCTCGTGGGAACGATGAACTTTCGTGGAAAGTTTTATGAATAACTCTGAATGAGTTTAAGAACTCTGAACGAGTTTGAACTCTGTGAATAGAGTTGTTGGAACCGAAAATTCGGTTAATAATCAAGCTGTTTTTCTGTTGTTGAAGGATTCTCTCAGATTTGATTTTCTGAGGTTGGTTCAAAAATCCTATCTCCAAGGATTTCGTTGCTGTTGTTGCCGAATCTCCAAACCTGAGTGGTTTTGATGATGAAGAATCCAACCCTTGATCTGATTATCAAAAATCCGATCCTTTAACTCTGTCGAGTTTGTTTGAGAACTGAAAATCTCCAACCTGTATGGTTTAGATCTTTTGAATCCAACCTGTGTGGTTCAGATGCCAAAAATCCAACCCGTAACTCAGTTGAGTTCGTTGAGCTTTTATAGGGGGATAAGAGGTTGTAACTGACCCCTATATCTGCTCCTACGTGGGTGAAAATCCCCTCATAACGTGGGATAAACGGTTTTGGAACCGTTCGACTTATGTTTGAGTGAGTCAAACGCCCAATCTGGCGTTCAGAACCTCAACTTCGTGTTCTTTGAATTGAGACGCGAAGTTGGGTGTTAGCTGAACACCATTGAACGCGAGGGTCGCTCACGTTTGGCTTGTGCATTGTCGACGCGAGGGTCGCTGTTGGTTGACGACGCGAGGGTCGCTATGGCTTGACGACGCGAGGGTCGCCGTGGCTTGACGACGCGAGGGTCGCTTTGGCTTGACGACGCGAGGGTCGCCGTGGCTTGACGACGCGAGGGTCGCTTTGGCTTGACGACGCGAGGGTCGCCGTGGCTTGACGACGCGAGGGTCGCCGTGGCTTGACGACGCGAGGGTCGCCTTCATTTCCAAAGTTATGACGCGGGGATGACACCCGCGTTTCAGAAGGAGTTAGCTGATTTGTAACTTCTTCTGTAGAGCGTTGCAAGGACCGTTGTTCAATAATCCTAGCTTTAGCTGTTGTGGGGTGTGAAAGCCGTCAGATTGTAACTTTCACTGTAGATTGTGAAGACTGCTGCATAGAGTTTTCATCAGTTGTCGGAAGTGTCGTTGAATTGTAACCTTTCTCGATCTATGTGAAAAGTCCTCTATTTGCCGCTTTCAATCACCGACCCGAAAGCTATTTGATTGTAGCTTTTGTTGTAGGAGCTAGACGGGAATCAACATCCATAGTGTCTTAAAGATGAATATTCGCCCATAGCTCTCTACCAAGCAACTATTCGACTATATGTTTCGATCATCGACCCGAAAGCTATTTGATTGTAGCTTTCGTTGTCAAGTGCACGGGACTGCTAGTCCCGTGCACTTGGTGTTCAGCAAACGGGTAGTGCTCTCTGCTTAAAAGTCGGGACTGCTAGTCCCGACTTTTAAGCAGAGAGGCCAGCCGCTGCTCAAGACCAAGTGCACGGGACTAGCAGTCCCGTGCACTCGCTGTGCACATTTTTGTGCAATTTTCTCTACATTTCAAGTAGTTCCTGTGCATATATCAACACAAACTTCCTCTAACAAGTCACATACTCATTTCACCACTGCATTTCATGTAGTCCCTGTGCATACATCCACACAAACTCCCACTAACAAATTACATACTGATTTCACCACATACTCATTTCAAATCAAACAAATCACATCACACCACAAACTCCCACTAACAAATCCAACATAATAACACCACAAACCCACTTAGAAATCAAACATATCACACGATATTATCGACTACAAATCCAAAAATCACATCCCTAAATAGTTTTGTAATGTATATAACCTGTAGTTTACATACATCCAAGAACTCTCCTCCTCCTCCTTTGGCTTCGTCGTCCTCCATACCGCCCTTCGACGAGTTCGTGATCCGGTTGCGTTTGTGGTTGTGACGGTCCAGCTCCATCGTCGACACGTTGGGAAGGTCCAGCTTCATCGTCATTTCTGCGTCGTCCTCGACTTTGTCGCTGTTGTCGTGTATATACGAATGGCGTTACCTCCCGTCCATCATGACGATCTTCGTGAGTTCGGTGTAAGGCTTGTTGAAGCCTCTGCATTATAGCCTGATATATTGATACATGTTCATGTGTTTCGGGATTTCTACCTGCGATAGATAGTTCAAAAACAAAATTTAATATTAAATTTGATATAACAGAATGTAAATTTGAGATTTAATTTTATCGTACCTGCTCGAGCCAATTCCAAGCCACGATTTGCAAGAGTTTGAACTTCATCTATTGCTGATACCTGCAAATTTTTCAACACATAAAGTACCAATAAAAATGGACTTAGATCAAAATATGAAAATACTTACTAATTCTCTCTCATCTATACCCCGGGGCACATATCCTCTTTGCGACTCAACCGGTATTGTGGTCGAATGAAGTATCCATCTTCGGGTTATGCCCCAATACCAAGTGTAGTAATCTGATTCCCGAGGAGTTGGTTCAATTTGGTTGACAATAAAAAAATGCCTATCATTCCATCTGTGTATAAAAGCTTGATGCACGATCATCCAGTTTATTTGCTGGCCTTCTTTTTTTGCCTTCCTCTCTATCTTTTCAACAAACTGTGGAACATGTTGTGCACGACCAAATTGTCGAAGCACGCGGTCTGGTACATGCATTTCTACTATCTCCAAACATATAAGAGGAACTCTAGCTCTCCATACAACTTGGTATTCTGTGCATATTGGGGGTAGCTGAGGTAGAAATTTAGCTCTCCATACAACTTGGTATTCTGTGCATATTGGGGGTAGCTGAGGTAGAAATTGGGTGTAGGGCTCTCATTCCATCTATAATAATTTAATGCAGTTGCATATCAGAATTGGGTTTTTAGTATGTAGAAAAAAAAGCGCATGTTTTTCGGTGAGAATTACCTGAAAAATCTTCATACGGTCAAGCTCATTCCGGTAGAAATCCAATTGTCTAGCCGGGGTCTCGTCATAGCATTTTTCGACATTCCATCTACAAAAAAATATTTGTCATACATTTAGTACCACAATGATAACTACAGTTATATTCGCTACATAAAAATACAATACCTGCATCCCAGTGGAATTTGTCCATCTAATTGTAAATGCGTGCATAGTCTCGGCTTCAAATGAAGTCTCTCCCATGCCCATACTTGCAATAAGCTTAGACACCCTTTAAGCTCACTGTTTTGCATAAGTGCCACTTTTGACATCTCTCTATATAAATACGCCAAAACAGCACTACCCCACGATTTTGTACCACATACGTCCAAGTCCTCGAGGAGTGGTAACCACCTAGCATATTCACAATATTCCAATTTATTAAAATAAGCTAATTCAATGAAATACAGATTCATATTATAAATACACATACCTCGCATGCACTTTATCTTTACTTGAATCTGGAAATAATATAGTACCAATCATGTGCATAATGTATGCACGTGCATGTTGGTCAACCAAAATTTGTGGGGCATCAACAGGCAACGGTACTGAGAAGGTCTCTCTCAACCACTTCAACTTAATAGTTCCTCGAGGCATAGTCTCTGGAGCTACACCTAACAACTCCTCACATCTTCGAGGCCATACATCACTATCAGTGCCGGTAATGCACGGACCATCTATACGGAGACCGAGTATCACGGCTACATCTTGTAGAGTAATGGTAGCCTCGCCCATCCGGAAGTGGAAAGTATTGGTCTCAGGTCTCCATCTATCCATCAACGCGGTCAGTAGGGGCCAATCGAGCTTTATCCAACGAAGCTTTGAACAAGTCAAGAAGCCGGCCCGTCCCACAGCTGATATGATACGCTCATCCTCTAACCGCCAACGGCTATGGCTGAGGCTATGATCAACCATAACGATACTCCCTCCTCTCTGTACAACAAATGATAGTATAAGAATGCAATATTATGTAAATGTAAATATTGCAATTATAAAGTAATTGAATTACCTCTGTACAGGATATAATATGTGAACGATGTTGAGCCTGGTCATATAAGACCTCATCACTAACCGGCCCAGGATCCATGGTGTACAAACCTGCACATACAATTATACACACGTCAATAATCAATCATATAGTAATTCAGTTTTTTTATTAAAGTATATAAAAATAAAAAAATGATATAAATTACCAATTAGTTGCTATCTATTGTGTCTAGATGGACAACGAGGTCGAGTATGTCCCGGTTGTTTGCAAATACTACATTTTTTATGCTTGACCACTCCTTCTCGCCCTTGATCCATGGTTCCCCTAATTTGCACAGATCGTGGTCGACCTCCTTGTCTCCGGTACTGAGGTGGAATTATACGTGGTCCATTATATTTAGGCCAATACCGACTATCATCAGGTGGATGAAAACTCTCACTATATGTCTTTTGATAGTGAGCTGTTGAATACCAAGGCGAGCAATACCGATTTCTGGGAATTCTAGCACCTCCTGGCTGATTAGAAGAAGCCACAAGCACATGTGCACAGGGTATTTTTTGTAGTTGTGGTATGTTACATGTGCAAGTGCAATTAACATCAAATAGTTTAACGGTATAGATACCGTCACAATCCTGTACCTGCCATTCGTTGTCGTTGAATACGGTAATTTGACATGATCTTGCTGCCTCAATTCTTCTATGCAAAATGGACTCATTTTTTGGTGTGTAACGTGTTGTCCAGTCTATGCCATCACCACGCCTTTTGTTGAAGTATGCGTTTAGTCTATAGAATGTTCTCGCAACCAAAGATTGTATTGGCATAGCTCGTGCTCCTTTAAGAACGCCGTTAAAGCTCTCGGAGCAATTAGTCGTCATCATGCAAAACCGCACACCATCATCCTTACATAATGCCCACCGATGCTCGAATTGAGGCTTCAAGTTATTTTCAATCCAATTATGTGCATCTAATGACAAAGACTTGATTTTCTCCCTGCAATGTTCATACACTAATGTGTCGGTTGCACACCCGGCTTGCCACAAAATATTTTGCAAATTAATCTCACCGTATTTTTTCTTGAAATTATCTCTTATATGCCTTAAACAATATCGATGGTGATGTGGTGCACTAAAACCCTCATGTAATGCCCTTATAATTCCTTTCATCCTATCCGAAATAAAGGTAATTATTCTTGGCGCACGGACACTTGGAATCCACTTGTATATAAGTTCAAAAAACCACTTCCAACTAGACGTATCCTCCACCTCCACGACTGCAAATCCTAGAGGAAATAACCCACCATTTGCATCTACACCGGTCGCTACAAGAAGCACGCCTTTGTACTTTCCATATAAATGTGTACCATCAATGCTCAATAGCGGACAACAAAAAGTTTAGCCCTTAATAGCAGGACCAAATGCCCAAAACATGCGAGTGAACCTCTCCATACCCGGTGCAATCTCTTCGGATAATATTTCGTATTCAGTACCCAGATTATTTCGTTTGATAGCTTCAAGATACTGTAGAAGTAATTCATATGATTTTTCCCAATCTCCAAAAATTTTAGACAACGCTTTCCTCCTTGCATCATATGCCTTATATTTAGATATCTTAATCCCCCGCATGTCATATACCCTCTGAAATATCTGACCTGCATTCAGATCAAGTTCAGCTCTAACTTCAGGCATAATTAGCTTACATATATAAGAAGAAGATGCAGAATAATCATCGATATCCACCGACGGGTTGCAACATGTATGAAGTCTGTAATATCTACATATTACAAATTGCCCATTTGATGATTTTCTCACATCGGCATTTAGCAACCAAGGACATTTTTTATTTCTCTCATCTTGCTCATTTGCGTTCTCTACTTCATTCTTATCGTTAAAGAAGTATTTCACATTGTAGTTTGTTACATTAGTTTTTACCGGCTTGAATTTGACCCGATTCTTGATGGACCATTCTCGGATTGCAAAGATCAGTGCCTCCTTGCTCTCGAATAGATCCCCTTTTTTAAAAGTGAAGTCCTCGGGTCGTTGTAAATTTGGACCAACATCAACAAATCCAGCTTGAGAAGTATTTATCCAATCCTCATTATGAAACTCGTCGGGCAATGGATCTTCAGCTTCCACATAATCATTATTAACGTTAAATTACTCCATCCAATGGGCGTCATCATCGATTCCAGCTGCCACATGCATGCTATCAATTTGCACGTCATCTTCTTCAATATGATCTGAATCATCATCTGCTTCATCTTCTATAATTTCTCCGACTGGTGGGTAACCCGTAACATGACCTGAAGCGTCGTTAAATATATTAGTTGACGTCCCACCGATAGAATACTCACTTAAATGTTGTGGTTGAGACCATGGCTCTTGACTTGGAGATGTCATAAAACCAATCGACTCGTTGTCTAAGTCAAGCATCCGAGAAAACTCTCCTTGAGGTCGTGAAACTTGGGCAAATTCCTGAATCGGATACTTCTCAATAAACAACTCAATTGACGCTTGCTTCTCGACTAATTGTTTCATGTCATTCAATTCCTCATCTTCGGTAATCTCCACGGCAATAGTTCTACTCTCATTTATCGGACAGTTGAAGAACACCCTAATTGTATATTCTTCTTTCTTAATTTTAGTAACTCTGTGTATTTCCCTAGTCATTCCATCAAAATTACACGACTTAGATAGCATGAACATTTTCCGAGAACCTCCATCATACACCGGCAAATTATTCACTCCGACGCCGAGGCTCCCATTAAAGAAACAAATAATGGGTATGGAGTTCGTCATCGAAACTGAAAATACACAGTCCATCATATGCAAATAATCTATTAATATCTGAATAAATCAACATCAAATTTATTACCTTAATCAATCCCAAATAATGGCTAAACCATAACTCCCAAATCACATTATATCACATTATATCACATTATTCAACCTATACAATACCCCTCAACCAACAAAATCCAATAAATAACTCAAATTAGCATCAATTAAAAAGAACAAAAAAGCCCCATCAAATTCCCAAATTATCAAAAAAACTCATTTCCAGAACCCCAAAATCAACCAGAAACCCAGTATAAAAATTAAAACTTTGACAGAAATTAACCAATTAAAATCTATAATACCTTTAGCAGCAGCGGGGTCGAAGGCTCGAAGACGAGAGCGGCGGGGGTCGAAGGATCGGTCACGAACTAGAGCGGCGGCGGGGTCGGCGGGGACTGCAACTGGCGGTGGTCGGCGGCGGGGTCGACGAGGCTGAATTTTTTTTTTCGGGGGAGAGTGGTCACGAGAAGAAAACTTTGACTGAAAGAAAGAACGAAAGAAAAGACGAAAGAGGGGGTGGGGTAGGCGGACTGCACGGGACTACTAGTCCCGTGCAGTTTCGTAACTACTAGTCCCGTGCAATTTCGTAACTGCAAAATCGACCATTTTAGGTCGGTTTTGCTAATTATTTTGTGAGACGGTCGATTTTGCCCAATAAAATTGAAAAATGGGCTGTTTTAAAAATTTCTCCTTAATTTGAAGGTCTGATGTGGCTTTTTTGGATAGGAGTTGCCCGTGTCTGTGAGAACAATGCAAACGACTTGCGTGGTACACCATAAGTGAGTGCACTAAGTATATGCTGGGTTATTAAACACTTTGACCTCACATAACTATATTGGAACAAGAAAACATTCAGAAATCTGACTAATGTAATGAGCATGTATGATATTATAAAGAGTTATTGGGGGAAAATAAATTAGTTTGAAATGAATTTACCCTCAACGGTCACATAATTAAAATTTTCTTAAAAGAAAGCAATCACCAGTTTTATTATCTGTCATTTACAAACAACGTACACCCTTTCTCCCAGTTTTATTATTTTGTTTGTTAAAAATAAAATTGAACGTATATTGTTTTGGCCCTAGAGTTCTTTTTCCCCATAGAGACCACTGTTGGTTTCGGGAGTGGAGAACCAAACCTGGAATCAAAAAAAATCACAAACTGCACAGAAATTCTCTTATGGGTCGACCGACACAAGCTCATCGGTCGACCGATGTGAAGCCAAGAAAAACTACAGGGGTTTCGGAACGGTCGACCGACAGGCTTGCCCCGGTCGACCGAAAGCGTGCACGAAAACCCTGTCGAAAACAGAGTTCTGGACGGTCGACTGAAGCAATATTATCGGTCGACCGATGGCGATCAACCAGTCGACCGATGCAATGCTATCGGTCGACTGAAGTCGGGTCTGACAGAATTCCTAATTCGGGTTGGAATCTGTTTTTGGGCTGTGTATATATATGTTTCCTAAAACCTTTTTACGGTTATGTGAGGACGTCTTTGAGAGGGTTTTGGCAGCACTTTGAGATCAGAGATCTTAGAGAGAGAGTGGCCTATTGTGAGCATTGTAATCATCTTCAATTAATCAAAGAATTTCTGGTGTGGCTCCCAAGTACGTAGGCACGTTTGCTGAATCTCGTTAAAGCTGGTGTTTTCTTCTTTTGGTTGTTCTTTCCTACAAGTTTTTCCTTTATCAGCTATGATTTCTTGCTTGCCTACTCTTGACACAAGATCCGGAAGGGCACAGGTTGTCGTTTGTGTGATCAACCCTAATAACTGGTATCAGAGCTTCGTTCGGCAAAGTTTGTGTGTGAAAGAGATGGTAGAAGAAAGCAAATCGAATATTGAGAAGTTTGACGGATCAAACTTTGCCTAATAGAAGTCGCAGATGGAGGACTACATGTACCAAAAGGATCTTTACCGTCCGTTGATGGGAAAAAGCTAAAGGAAAGAAGAAAGAGGAATCAGACGAGAACTGAGAAATACTGGATCGGAAGGCTCTAGGGTAGATCCGGTTGTCGCTCGTCAAATCAGTCACCTACAATATATTGAAGGAGAAATGATGGTGGGGCTTATGGAACTGTTTGCAAAGATAAACGAGCAACCGTCAGCCGCAAACAAGGTGCATCTCGCCAAGACACTCTTCAACCTCAAGATAGCAGAAGGGTATTCCTTCACGTTGTATCTCAGCGAGTACAACACAATCATTGATCAACTTATCTCAGTTGACATCACGTTTGATGACGAAGTGTAGGCCCTATTGATTCTATCATAGCTATCGGATAGTTGGGCAGGTTGCGTGACCGTAATTAGCAACTCGGCAGGGAAGGAGAAGTTGAAGCTAAGCGAGGTTATTAGCATGATTCTATCCGAGGAGGTTAGAAGAAAATCATCTGAATCAGAAGGTATAGGTTCAGCCCTAAATCTC